TCCTCTAAGATTATGAACTGAGTACTAGTAAGCACTTATTTCTATGGAACTGTCCATGTTAGGTTGAAATCTGTTGGCCTGTGACGTGACAGAGATCTCTGTTCAAACATTGAAACACCGCTAATGAAGTCTTTACCTCTTAACCCTATCCATACGTCGTGTTTTACTATTGTATCCATACGACGTGGGGAACTCTGTGCACCACTTTCCAAAGAGAAAACTTTCTCATTAATCCGATCCATACGCTTTGCATAGCAGTCTGTCAAAATGAATTTTTGAGACATACTGAAAGTTTCAAAGAGATCTTTGAACTAGAAGTATTCTAAAATGTGAAGAATACAACCCCGAGGGCACAAAATGACTCCAGTGCAGACGATAGGGTTAATGGATAAACCTGTCCCCAGGTTTTATGCACCCCACATAATTTAGCAAAATTTGATCATTTTTTGCTTAATTTCTGATTATTTTCTTTTATCATTCTTTGTTAACATTAACTGAATCGCATAATTTCACTTTTTTGGGCTCTGCATAATTTCAGAATGTTTCTTGCATGAAACGACAGGGACAGATAAACATATAATTTACAACAGAAAGCTCTTCTGCTACTACCACCTACTCCTCCCCTACACTGCTGCTACACCTTCACATCAGTGAAAGAGGCAAATGCCCAACAGCTACTGCTGCTAATACTGCTACTAGTACTACAACTACAACTACTACTACTGCTACTTCGCTACTTCTACTGCTACTACGTACTACTACTACTGGGCCCTACTACAGTCAATGCCGGCTTTAAGCACGGTCGTCGGGAGAAAGCTTAAGCGTGCTTAAAGCCGAAGCGTGCTTGAGTGCGAAGTAGACATAATCCAGAGATATATTCATGTAGAAAATTTCCCGTGCTATTTCCCTTTGTTTGTAAGTAGGCCTATAGCGGTCCCGCAAAAGTGTGCACTGTTATTTAGACACCCGGTATGGTAGGGTTTTTTTTGCTTGTTTGTTTTTGTTTTGTGGTCGAATGGGAAATGAAAACTTAATTTAGACGGCCAGTCACGATACAGCACACTAGGCCTACACACTGACTGTGCGTACCACTGCCCTCTGTGCCACTCATACCACCGCCTTCATCCCACCTCGCGCGTGATACTGATACACAATCAGGAATAATGGATAGCGAGGGTCAAAGGTGAAATCGCAGCCAGCCTCCCTTTCTCGTCTCCCCGACTCTGTATTTATTTTTTTGGGGGTTATGTTTAGCTTTGCCCTAGGCCTAGGCTAGATCCTATGTCCGCGCGCGCGGCTGTGTGCATCTGCCTTCCTCTCAGCCCGTGTGAGTGTGTGAGTCCATCACTTGCGTTCTTTGTGTTTCTCTTGACACACTCCACCGCTGCGGTGTAGACTGTGTTCGAACTTCGATGGGTCATCATGAAAATATTGACTGTCATGTAAATGAAGCGTGCTTGAAGCCGAAGTTACCGTGCTTAAAGGCGTGCAATTTATATAGCAAAAATTCGGTAAGAGCCGTTGAGCGTGCTTGAGTCCGAAACGTGTTTTAAGCCGGCGTGCTTAAAGCAGGCACGAACTGTACTATTACTACTACTACTACTACTACTACTACTACTACTACTACTACCACTACCACTACCACTACCACTACCACTACCACTACCACTGCCACTGCCACTACCACTACCACTACCACTACCACTACCACCACCAACTACTATTACTACTGTGACTATTATGACCACCCCGACTACTGTGACTATTTTGACTGCTACAACTGCTACTATTTCTACCTCTACTGCAACAGCTACAACTTTGCATCAGTCAAAAAGACTAACACCCAACAGCTACTGCATCATGACAACAACTCCCAACAGATTCAGCAATAGCTACATCTGTTGTTGGCAGCATTTCAATAAAAGTGCCTTTCCACTAATCACACATAACTGCCTGACTGTAAATAAATTAGATTCAAATGTTGCTGAAACACGTGTTGTTTTGTCTTCTATAATTTATGTTCAAGTGCTTATACATGTACATGTATATATATGATTGTTTTTCTCCTCCTGGGGAAGGCTCACATAGCTTTGTGATAATACCCTTAGTGAGCTAAAACGTTCCAATTTACCATTTTAATCTGTTGGGTGACTTACAGTGTTATGACCTTTTAAGAACAAACAGTTGTCCTTCACTTACTTGTATTGTTTTATTTCTGTCTCTACATTATCAAGGAATGTGGTGTACGGGTACATCACTTTAATTAGAATTTAGGTTGCATGAGATGAAAATATTTACTTAAAAGAGATAACAAAAAGAAAAAGTTTGGGGTAAAAGTGTAAATTCAGATGACTGGACTATTCGCATGAAAGATCAGGACGAAGTGCAAAAGATGAAGCTGATGGTAATATTGGGGGTGGGGTCAGACAAAGCAGTGAAAGAAGGAAGGGGAAAAGAGATCTGAGAAAAGAAATATGTGTGTGTGTGTGTGTGTGTGAGAGAGAGAGAGAGAGAGAGAGAGAGAGAGAGAGAGA